CTAACATGACTAGATCATAAAAAAACAAAGAAACTAAATCCATCTAAACTAACAAGAATAAAGAAGAACAATCACGAAACCAATTAAACCAAACTAACAAGAACAATTAAACCTAAACAATTAAACTAAGTAAACAAGAAATTAGGGAAAACATTAAACTAAGAACAAAAACAATAACAAGAGCAACTTAATCAAAGTAATAATTAAAGAAAACAATAAATGAGATAGAGCTTAGAATGCTCATTGAAGTATTGAAAAGGAATCCAAAACAATGTCACATTTTGCATCTTCAACCTCTTCAATTCACCATTGAAGCTCTTCACTTTCTCTCTCTAAACTACTCTTAAACTAAATTACAAAACAAAGATAAAACTAAATCTAAGCCCTAATCTAAGTGATAAAATGATGGAGAAGGCAAAGGGGTTTCATCCCCTCAAAGAGGAGAGAAGACCCAAAAAACTCCCCCCTTAGGAAGTCTAAGAAGTGCTCTATTTATATTACAAGAAGAGAAAGAAAGAAATCCAAAAATTAAGCTCATAAAAGACCCAGAACCCCATGCCTGCGGTACCCAGAGCCGCGCCCGCGGCAAGGCATCTCCAGAAAATTGCAAAGTTGGGGATAGCAGAGGGCCGCGCCCGCGGCAAAAATAGCCGCTCCCGCGGCACAGTTAGCCGCTCCCACGGAGCCATGGGCTGCGCCCGCGGAGCCTAGCAGCGTCTTGCAGATTCAAACGGCCATAACTTCTGTTCTAGGAAGCCTCTTGGGGTGTGACACCTACCGTTGGAAAGCTCTTCAAGTCTAGTTTCCAACTCATTTTGAATCGCCTCAATCCAATGTGTAGATAAAACTTTATGGCTGAAAGAGTGAACAAGACTCGGTTTAAGGCCTTCTACGAGCTTTAAACTTGTCTCAAGCTTCTTAGCTTCTTTCTTAGCTTCAAGCTTCTTCTATTGAACTTTCTTGCCTTTTCTCGGGTCATAAGCATCGAAGAAAGCGTCAAGCACCTACACAAATAGACTAAGAGAGAAAAGAGTGAAAGAACACATAGAAATTTATGCAAATCAAGCTAGAAATCGAGCAAAAAAGCATATTATTCACAACTGAGGCCTAAAACCATAAATTAGGAAAAATATAACTAAAACAAGACTAAAAGGAATAGAAATAACAAATAAACACCGAAATAAACCTAAAACTAAGGGTGAAAAACGCCCTAATATGTGTCATAAATGACACTTATCATTCACCATCATCACCATACTCATCCTCCTCCTCATTACCCTGTAACCGATTGCTCAAGGGCACAAACCAAACATTCGGAGCATCTCGTTGCAAGGAAGTCAAGGAAGGGTTTGGAAGATAACACCGGTGCTCATTCCTTACTAACCAATCGATTACCTCATCATTACTATTCTTTGAAATGAAATTCACTTGCTTGAGTTGAGGGATGTCGAGGTAGATATCATTAGCATCGCCCACCGGAGTACATGAGACAAGATAGCGGTCATACCCAAAGCTTGAAGCTAACCGAGTGACCAAACTTCCATAAGTAATCTCACCCGTTTTCCTTCCTCCCACCATTGATACACAACTCCTCATGAATAGATGTCCCATGTTCAACCTCCCTCGCCACTCTTCTCTCGTGGCTAGCCAGAGTACCACCACCTCAAGCTTCGACATCTTTCCCAAATCTTGCTTGGCAAAACCGAGTACCCCAAAAGCCTATGCAACACTCGAAGACATGGTTGGAAGACATCACTTGCCAAAGAGTAACGAGCGGTGAATTGCTCCTTTTCCGAAATCGCGTTCCACAATGCGTACTCCGCATACCCATCAAAGTTTACATACTCGGGGAAGAGGAGATCAGCATCAGGGTTGAAGTCGAGAGCTGCATTGAATTCCCGGAGAGAAAGAGTATGGCGAACATTGAAAAGTTGGAAGGTAATCTCGAAATTGGCGTCACCAATCGGGGTGGAAGAGAAGGAAGCTAGAAACTCCCTTGTAGGCTCAAGATAGGTTCGGAAGGCGGAGTTTACAAAAACACCTATCCGAAGGTTATCAAAAAGCAACCACAAATCCTCGTTGATGCCCAATTATCATATCTCCTCTATGATAATGGCGACAAGGTCTTATGAATCTCTTCTTGAGGTCGGTGTGGATTGATTTATGTAGTGGGTTATGGAATTTGAGAGTTGGTAAAGGTAAGGGTTTATTGGAGGCATGTGTTTGAGGGGTTTGTTGGGGCTCCTCAATCCTCACTTGGGGCTCCTTCCCCTTCCTCTTCCTCCTTTTGGAGGACAAAGATCTCAAGATTCTTGACATGATTTATCCACAACGATGAACACCAAACAACTCAAATTATCAACCATAAGCACCACCAACACCAATATCACCAATCACCACAATACTACCACCACAAGCAATCAACAAAGAGACCCACTTCCAAACTTTACAAAAATTCACCAAAGATGAACAATAGTGCTAAACAATCAACAACAACAAGTGTTAAGTATAAAATATTAGTAAACAACAACCACAAGAATCAACATTATCAATTCAATCATCAAAATACCCAAAATCAATACTTCTACTATTCACAAGTATGAAACAATCAAATTCTCATCCAAGTATGATAATTCAAGCTAAAATAAGAGTAGAGAAGATGATTATACCATACAAGAAGCAAAGTTAACCAAGCTTGGAGCACCAATTCACCAAAATTCGAAAATCCCCAATTTGTTCTTCAATGGAGATTGAAGCTTGAAGAAGAAGAAATGGTGAGTAGTAGTATGGAAAATGGTTAATTTGAGGAGAATTGTGTGGGAATTTATGGATTTGTGTGGGAAATTTGTGAATAAGGATGATGTTTGGGAAGATTTGGGGGTTAGGGTTTGAATTTTAGAGTGAGAATGAGTGAGTGTCGTGAGTTAGAAGAATAGGAAGTGAGGAAAAAGAAAGGAAAGAAGTAGGAAATAGCTCGGCCTGGGCTCGTGCGCGCCCGCGGATGGGTCGCGCTGCTGATTTGCTCTCGGCATTTCTTTTGAGCTCCCGCACACACCTTCTATGCGCCCGCGCACCCCTGTTTTACCTCTTCCTCCTTCATAAACCCCTTTTTCTAGCATTCTTCATTGCATTTACCTTCCATCACTTGGTTTAAAATCAAAGAATATCAAGCACACTCTCATTACAAACACCTAACACCTCCAAATGATGCACATGCTTGATCAAAAGAATCCAAATCGCATGAAAACACCCTTCATATACAAACACAAAAACAAGTGAAGAAAAGAGAAGATAAGAAAAGAGAAATTTGAAAATTAAAATGAAAAGAGAAAAGTTAGAGGGCTGGGTTGCCTCCCGAAAAGCGCTAGTTTAAGGTCCCTAGCTTGACCCGCCCTCCAAATCACGGAGGGTCAAAGAAGACCACCTTGTTCAAAGTGGTGGAGAAGGTAAAGTCATTGCTAAGCTTTGGCAAAATCACATCACGAGGGATATCATCTTGAATCACAAAAACCGGATCAAACATGTTATGCTTCAACTTCTTTTTATTTTTCTTGGGAACTCTCCTTCTCTTCTTTGATTTCTTCTTCCTTGGAGTTGTGAGCTCCACATGACCAACACTTGAAAAACTATTCTTGTCATCCTTCAAAGAAATCTCAAACCAAGAAGGCATTTCAATCTCATTCTCAAGCTTTGAGGACTCCTTGTCTTCTTCACTAACAATCTTGCTTTCAACACATTTAGGAGCATCATCACAAGCTACAAGAATATCATTAGTAGAAGACAAAAACATGTAAGCATCATCATTCAAGGGAAATGAGTTAATGCACATAATTTCTTGCACATAAGATAGAGACTCATGCATCGACTTGAGTTTAGAACTTGCCTTATCATTACCAACACACAAAGTAATAAGGCCACCCTTCACATCAACTAAAGCACCCGAAGTTTCTAGAAATGGTCTCCCTAGAATAATAGGAATGTTGTCATCTTCCGCAATCTCTAGCACAATGAAGTCAACGGGGATAGTGAACTCTCCTATCTTGAGGGGGACATCCTCAATTCTACCCTTGGGGAACTTAATAAAACGGTTGGCCAATTGTAGAGTCATGTTGGTTGGAAGGAGCTCACCTAGCTTAAGCTTTTTGAAGATGAAAAATGACATGATGCTAACACTAGCACCAAGGTCACAAAGAGCATTTTAGAACAATTTTCCATTATTATTGCAAGGGATGGAGAAATTCCCTAGATCTTTCATCTTTGGGGTAGGTCGTTGAGCTAAGAGCACTACAACACTCCCCAACCTTCACCGAGTCAACCTCATTACACTCACTTTTTCCATTCAAGATTTCCTTAAGAAACTTAGAATAGTTTGGCGTTTGTGTCAAAGCATCGGTGAAAGGGATAGAAAGATGAATTTCCTTAATCATGTCAAGAAATCCTCCAAATTGATCATCAATCTTGCTCCTCAAGAACTTTTGAGGGTAGGGAAGTTTGGTTTTGGTCACATCCTTTTGCACACTCTCTCTAATCTTGACCTTCTCATCGGCATCCTCACACTTTTTTTTAGACACATCATGCTCATCCTCATCAAGTGAATCACTCACCTTCTCAACTTCTTTGCTCTTCCTAGAACATTCTCTTCAAGGACCTTACCACTCCTAGTAGTGATAGAATAAACCGATTTCTTAGGATCAATCCCTTGCGAAGGTAAAGAAGTAGGACTAGCACTCTCTTTCAAAGTGTTTGCTAGTTGAGTGATTTGAGTTTCAAGCATCTTGCTATGTCTCATCATTTCTTTGAATTTATTATCACTAACCGTCATGTATGTGTTCAAAATCTTGGTTTAATTTTCAATTATCTCTTCCAAATTAGACCTAGAAGAAGAAGAAGAAAAAGGTTGAGCATAGGAATTATCACTTTTTGGCCTTGGGTTTTGGAGAAATACTGGGTAGGGGGCCCCTTTAAGCTTTGTTTTGAAAATTTCCCTTATTTTGATTGTTCTAATAACCACTATTTTGATTTTGGCCATAGCTTTGATTATGGTTACCATAGCCTTGGTTATGATTACCATAACCTTGGCCTTGATTTTGGCCACTATAACCTTGGTTGCTATAGTTACCCCGAAAACCTTGGTTTCCTTGGTTCCTATAGCCACTACCTTTGTTATAGTTGTCAAAATTGCCTTGGTTGTGATAGTTCCTATTCCCTTGGCTTCTTTGATTATCAAACCTTGAACCATTATTGTTATTGGACACATAATTCACATGCTCATTCACATTATCATCAAAATCATCACATCCATCCGAAAAGGCATGAGGGCAATTAGAAGAATCATGCTCATACGAACCACATATATCATAAAACAAGCATCCACTAGGCATGTTATTGGAAGTAGAAAGAGGAGTAGAGTTGGAAGATGTACCTTCCACCTTATTTTGGGAGGGAAGAGTAGGTGTTAGAGATGAAGCATTCTCCAATTTAGCCTTGATGGAAGTCATCTCCTTCCCGAGGATAAGTTGATGGCATTGAGGTGATCAACCGAGTACACTGTAGAGCCACTCTTGATTGTTGATTCTCGATCATCGTCTTTCCAATCCATCTAATACCTCACTACATCTTAAATGATATCCACAACTTCCTTTTCCGTTTTGTTCATAATGGGTCCTCCGGCTCCCGCATCAAGAAAAGACTTCCTTTGAGGGCTTAGACCACCATAAAAGATTTGAATGATTTGGTAGGTAGGAATTACATGGTGAAGACACTCTATTTGATAATCCTTCCTTTCCCAAGCTTCATAGCGGCTTTCATTAGATTTTTGCTTGAAACTTTGGATAAGTGCTCTTGCCTCCGCTGTTTGCTTTTGGGAGTAAAACCGGGATAGAAATTCCTTAGTAACCTTATCCCATGTCCTTAGTGAGTTCGACCTTGACTTCTTTATCCAACCATTCCAAGGCACGCCCTATGAGCGAAACGGGGAAAAGCTAAAGGCGGATGAATTCTTGAGAAACCCCATTCACTTTGATAGTGTTACAATACTTCTAAAATTCTTTGAGGTGGTTTAAAGGACTCTCATGCTTGGCCCCACTAAATTGTCGCCTCTCTATCAAAGTGATCATTACCGGTATAATTTCAAAATCATTCGCCGGTGTTGTAGGTGGAGCAATCCCACTCTCAAACCTATATGCACCCGGAATTCCCTATTCTTTCAATGCCACTCTTGGATTTGCTCCCATTCTTGCTTGTTCCTCTTCTTGTGGTTCTACTTCACTTGGAGGGCTAGACTCAAAGAACGGCTAGCAACTCTTATCCTTGAAATTATCCTCTCTATTTCCGGATCAAATGCCACTAGAGAACGACCACGTGCTCTGTGCATACAATCTCAAAAGAAAATATTAGTAGCACGACTGCCAATGTAGCCAAAAAAGGGAAATTTTTTTTTGTGTTTTTCAAATTAAATGAAATAGACTCAACAACTATAGCAAACAACTACGCCATTCCTCGGCAACGGCGCCAATTTGATGGGAGATTGTCTAACCACGTCGTTAAATGCTTAAAAACCTTATCAACAATATTTATAACACTCAACCAAACCTAAACCGAGTATAGGGTAAGTCGAGGGTCGATCCACGAGGAATGGGGGGTCAATCACTATAGTCTATGCGTTAAGCTATTTTGAAGAGTATATGAATGTGTAGTTGAGCGAGCTAAACAAACAAAGCAAAATTGGATTAAAATTCAATATCAAAAGCACTAGGGATTAGGATCCACATATAATCATGATATTTATGCTAATTGAAGGAAAATCAATCAACCAAATGTTGCAAAGGAAAATAGTAATTGTAATCAAGAGAATCCAATAGGTTATCTCCTAGAAGTCAAGCTAGGTTTCCTCTATGAATGACTAGAAAGAAGAATCACAAATCAAATTCAATCGATAAATGTAATCCCTAAATCAACAGTTCGTGTCATTAGAGATCACAATGCAATCTAACTTGAAAATCAAGGTTAGCTACTCCGTAACAATTCAAACACATGCACAATTCTATCAACCAATTTAATCACATCATTCAATAAATCAAAACCCAACAATTAGTAATGATCCATCATTCATGCATGTTTCACCGTCACCCTAGCAAGAGATCTACTCACTAAGCATGGTGGAAATGAAGAACAAAACTAAACTAATCATCAAAATCATCATCATCATTGCAAACAAACTATTAAGAATCAAATCAATCAGTAAACTTGAAAATGCAACAAATGATCAAAATCAAATGCAAAAGATTAAATTAAGAAGAAGAAGATTCTTACAAACTTTAATCAAATCAAAGGAATTGTGCTTGCATTCAAAGTAGAAGGAGATCAAATATAAAAATCATTCAATTCTCTCAAGTTTCTCTCTCTAAAATCTAATAAATTTCTCTCTCTAGCCTCTCTAATGAATTCTATGCATAATTCTCTTTCTACAATAACTAACTAAGGGGAAATAAAGTGGACTTCCAAAAGAAACCCGTACAAGCGCGCCCTCACTTTGGAATGCGCAACCGCAAAGAAAGGGTACGAAAATGGGGACTCAGGTGGCGCACCCGCACGCAAGGGTTGCGCGCCCGCTCCCTTGGAGCAGGGATCTCCTTCGTGCGTCCATCATTTCAAGAGGTGCGCTCCTCTTGATCGTCATTAGGGATGGAAATCCCAAAATGAGTTTATGATGGGTTCAACACCATACTTTCATGAGAGCGCAACATGAGGGCGCAAGCATCAAGTCTTGGAGTAAGCCATCCCTTGCTTTGTGAGCCATAAAGGAGCATCTACCTTGCACTTTAAGCATAATCTAACCCGAGGAATCACCATGAAGGGCCTAGGACTCAACCTTTCTCCTGAAAATAAAGAAAAGCAACCAAGTAAAAGGGAAAGACGATAAAAATTACGAAAATACAAGAAAAAGGGAGAAATAATTAGAATGAGATCAATTAGAGAATAAAAGACTAAAACTAAGGAAAAAGGCATAAAGAAAGCTATAAAAGCAACTAAAATCATCCCAAAATAATGCTATTTGAGTGCCATATATGGCATTCATCAGTCCAATGCGCCTCTCCTGGGTCTGATTGGCATCGGCTCGTAGCACTGAAGGCATATGATACATCAAGCCTAGTACATATCATGGCATACATGATCAATCCAATAAGCGAAGCATATAGATCTGATTCATCCTATCTCGTCATCAAGTGTCTGTGGACACTGTTTCTAGCTGAGAGTTATACCATGTGACATGGGTAGGTGCCCTCTCTTGGCCTTCTCCATGTTGAACCGTGCTAGTACCTTATCAATAAAGTATTTTGGGTCAATCCAATCATCCTTTTAGATCTATCTGGATAGATCTTGATGCCCAATTTGTACTGTGCCTCTCCCAAGTCCTTCATTGAAAAGCACTTTCCAAGCCAAGCCTTTACAGACTCTAACATTGGAATGCCGTTTCTAATGAGCAATATTTCGTCGATATATAAGACGAGGAATGCGATGTCACTCCCACTGACCTTCTTGTAAACACAAGACTCATTTGGATTTTTGATAAAACCAAACTCACTAATGGCTTCATCGAATCGCAGATTCCAACTTCTGCTTGCTTGCTTTAGTCTATAAATGGACTTCTTAAGCTTGCATACCTTCCCATCATTGTTTGGATCTATAAAACCTTCCGGATGTGTCATGTACATAGTTTCCTCCATAATCCCATTAAGGAAGGCGGTTTTGACGTCCATTTGCCATATCTCATAATCATAAAATACGGCAATTGCTAGGATAATCCGAACGGACTTAAGCATGGTGATTGGTGAAAAAATCAACGCCGTGAATTTGCCTGTAACCTTTTGCCACCAATCTAGTTTTGCATACATATACATTTCCATCTTTGTCGGTTTTCAACTTGAAAATCCATTTGCAACCGATAGGTGTGTAACCTTCGGGCAAATCAACCAAGTCCCAGACTTGATTTTCAAACATGGAGTCCATCTCGGATTTCATGGCTTCTTGCCATTTTGTAGAGTTGGGGCTTGTCATAGCTTGTTTGTATGTCGTTGGCTCATTTTCATCCATAACTAGGATGTCGTGATTCTTGGTTAAGACTACACCGAGGTATCAGTCTGGTCGAGATCTTGGCCTTTGCGTCCTATGCAGGGTAATAGATTGAGCATTTGCTTTGTCGTTTTGACTTTGAACATTGTCAGTTTGACATTGACCATTTTCAACAGTTGCTTCCAAAGCACTTTGATTGTCAGTTTTGTCAGGTTGACTTTGTTGCTCACGTTCTCGATTTTCTTCCCACTCGAGTAACAAACACTTTGTTCTCAGATTGGTTGTAGAAGTAATTCCTCTTTGTTTCTTTTGGATATCCCACAAAGAAACATTTGTCAAGTGCAAGCTTGTCGGACTTAAGTCTTTTGACATATGCTTCATAACCCCAAATCTTAAGAAAAGACACTGGTGGAGGTTTTTTTCGTCCATAATTCATATGGAGTCTTTCCGACAGCTTTTGACAGAGTGCGGTTCAGTGTAAGTGCCGTGGTTAGAAGTGCGTGTCCCCAGAAACAGATAGGAAGATCGCTAAGACCTATCATTGATCGAACCATGTCTAACAGAGTTCGATTTCTCTTCTTGGACACTCCATTCCATTGTGGAGTTCCGGGAGGTGTCAGTTCCGAGAGAATTTCATGTTCTTTGAGATGATCTTTGAATTCGTAACTCAAATACTCGCCACCTCAATCTGATCGAAGTGCTTTGATTTTCTTGCGAAGCTGATTTTCCACTTTACTCTAAAATTCTTTGAATTTCGCAAAAGATTCAAATTTATGCGACATAAGGTAGACATAGCCATATCTTCTAAAGTCGTCCGTGAATGTGATAAAATAGCGATAACCATTACTTGCGGTTGTGCTCATTGGTCCACATACATCTGTGTGTATGAGACCCAATAAGTCACTAGCCCTTTCTCCCAACTTGGAGAATGACTGCTTTATCATCTTGCCTAGTAAGCATCCTTCGTAGTTTTCAAACGACTCTAAGTCGAATGAATCAAGAATCCCTTCATGAAAAAGTTTCTTGATGCGTTTGATGTTAATATGACCAAGACGACAATGCCACAAGTAAGTTTGATTCGAGTCAACGGTCTTAGCTATTTTGATGGTATCATTAACATTATAAACCTGTTTGTCTAGTGAAAGCACATAAAGATCATTTTCTGAATGTGCCGTACCATATAAAACATTATCAAGATAAATTGAACAACTATTGTCTTTTATCCGAAATTCAAAACCATTGGCGTCCAACGCCGAAATTGAAATAATGTTTGGAACATGATAACAATCTTCAAGACAAACTAAGTGTCCCAATGGATACGACCACAATCCTTGCTCCATTGCCGACCCGGAGTTCCACTTCTCCCTTCACTAGCCTTGAGCATTGGAACAAAGGTGTGAGCCACATCCGGTATCTAATACCCATG